TGGCGCCTCTTTGCAACCAAGGTTTCTCGAGACAGGTTCTCGTTGGGTCTTGGGTTTCGAACCAAGGTTTCTTGAGACAAGTTCTCATTGGGTCTTAGGAATTTTTAGTTTTCCACTTGAATTTCAGCTTTCTTGGGATTGAATCAACTTGTTCGTGGGTTCAAGGAGCTTTATCTCCACGTGTTCACATCATGATGTCTTCCTCTTTTCTTATTCCTTTGATCTTGCCTTCTTGCCACCAATTATAATTTATCCACTACACATCCAATCCACATATTAGATCATGCTTAGATGTGTATCATCATCAAAATAATGCTTAATCAAGCATTGGGTCAACAAACCCAACCCGCCTAATCAATTTAACAATTCATCAAATCCCAAAACCATTAACTTCATTACAATTCATCAAATACAAACCCGCCTAATCAATTTAGCAATTCATTACAATTCTTCAAATCCAAAACCCATTAACTTCATTACAATTCATCAAATCCAAATCATTACAATTAATCAAATCCAAAGCATTACAAGTCATCAACTTCAAAGCAAAACAGAGGGCCTAAACATGTGCTGCAACAAAAAAAAACAAATGTGTTGTAGTGAATACATAAGTATTCAAAGCAAAATAAAGTGCCTGAATAATAAAACTTCAAAGCAAAAAATAAAATTAAAATTACAACTTGAAGAAACCAAAACAAAGGGTCCGCCATCCATACAACCAAACTAAAGGGTAACATTCATAACAAAAGAAAAAAATGCAGCAAATACAAAAACAAGGTAGGGTTATGATTAAATTTCTTCACATCAAATTTAATTTCTAAATGAAAAAAATACAAAATTTCTAGATCTAAGATGGTACGATCTAGGTCTAAGATGGTAGGGTTTCAGGAATGTCAAGTGTCAATTACCTTATATAGATTCGCAGTCACAGGAATGGAGAGAGAGAGAGAGAGAGAGAGAGAGAGAGAGAGAGAAAACTTGGTTACGCCTTAGTGGATGCCGGTACTAGAGAGTGAAGTCCTATGGGGGGAGACCGAATTGCGTTCATTTATATAGTACAAGTCAACTTCGAATACAAAATAGGTTAATCGGGTTCGTGTTGACCTGATTAGATACACGGGCTAATTGGGTCATTTTCGGGTTAAACATGTTGAACCCAAAATCGACCCATTAATATTTCGTGATGGCTGGTCGTGTCATATACAGATTTATGCCAAAAAATATTCAATCCAAATCTTTTTATTCATATCATATTTGTGTCGTGTTATCGTGTCGTGTCAAAAATTGTCACTCCTAATGTGGATCCATTTGATTATGGTCATGTCTCCCCATTATGGGGATCCTCTTAAGGTGGGATGGGTGGTTGATTTAATGCTCAAGGAATCGGATGTTCTTGGCCTTGGTATAAAATATTTTCCCAAATTTTGTAGCAAGGTATTGAACTTGAAGAAGTACAACTTAAGCCATTTAATCCTCAAAATGGTTTTGTGGTTGCTCATCATTCACCACATGAGTAGGGTCATCAGAGCTTTTGAGCACTTCTTGGGTTTAATTGACAACCTTAGATTGAAGTGTGGGAGCCATTGTGTTGTGTTAATGAGAGCAACAGATATCTTATCATTCCTATAGATGACACCAAATTGTTAATGCAAAATTTGAGTCGCTCCCATACTTGGTTGGGGGGATCTCGATTACCTAAAAAGAACATCGAAGACTGGAAGATTTCCAATGATCGACCCTCTGATGTTTAAGTCAAAAAAAGATTCATAGAAAAGTGGATAAATGGAGAATTGAATTCAGCGTACCTATTTAGCCAGCCTAGTGCCCTTATTGTAAAAGGTTTTCCATCAGTTATCACCTATTTGAGTTAAAAGTTCAAATTCTTTTATATCTCTTGATTTTATTTTATCTATTAGATTTAGCTTTAGCTCTTCTAAGACATTTGGAAATCTAAACTTACCCAAAATCTAAACATCTTTTTAGCATACATGACTGAACTGAAGTGTCAAGCTGGATGAACAGTGTGGAGCTATCGGCCAAGTTGTACAAACAGTGTGAAGCTGCTAGCTGAGCTAGATGAACAGTGTCAAGTTATTTGCCAATCAGGATGAATAGTGTTGTTAGATCATATTTGTAATTGGCTAATTTCGTAGAATCCATTGTAAATCTCAACATATTCAATGGTCATGATGCTATTAAGTTCAAGATCCGAAAGCATCGTTGAAAAGAAGAAATCAAGAGTGAAAGTAACATCAAACCTCTATATGCACCTTCATGCTTAGGACAAGGTAATGACCTAGACACCTAAAATGATTAGGTTGATTAGGATGAAAATAGAATTAGAAGCAATCCGATTATGATTCTTAAGTGATTTTAAAAGAAAAGATTTTCTAAACCATTTATAAGTTTTGAAAATATAGTTTGAGTTACAATCAAACCTCTCTTTGAACAACGCCTTTTAGTGCTCAGATGACAAGTTTTTGCATAGTTTTATGCTTAAAAACCTGCAAAGACCGATCTATGCTCGCTAGCCTTCACTAGAGCAGTCTCTTTATGAATTAGAAAAGAAAATTAGAAAATGCCACGGAAGGCAACACATGGCTCATTTTATAAGCTCGCTTAAGCGGTCCTTCATGGTCGTTCAAGCGGTCTCATGGTCGCTCAAGCAATACTTCCCTTAGTCGAGATTGGAACGTGTTTTTCATTCCAGCGACAATTGCCCTCCAACTGATCAAGCAGTCGTTCGCAAATGATTTTTCTTATTTACTAAAACTACCCTTATTCCGGATCTATATATAAGGAGAACCTTTCTCACACCTAGGTTAAGCCTTTTGTGAGATTTCTAAGATAGAAAATCATCTTTCTACCTTGTAGTGTCTCATGGTCACTCGAGTGGTGCTTCCCTTAGTTGATTAATTTGGATAATGGTGAGTAAAGGGGTTCTTACATTATTTGTTAAATTTTTGTGAGATGAGGTCATTGTGGTGATTTAGGTTTTAATTAATAATCAATTGGACTAAAATTAAAAAAAAATCTATTCATCCTCCCTTCTCTAGGTATAGTGTCTTGAACTCCACGTGTATGATGGTGAGGAAAGATTTATATCAAGTTCCTCTTCCCAAAACATAAAGTGCTAAGCAATTGATCGAGTTGGATGAACATTGTCAACTTGAGCTTGATGACCTGAGCTAAGCAAGCTGATCTAAATTTCCCTCCATCAGTTGGCTTGAGGATTTTGAATCCTACTAGAGGTGGACTCTAGTCTTCCTTCTTTGTTCGTTAGGAGGATAATTTTTTATATTCCAGTCAAACGGAACTTTATCTCAGTCTCTTCAAATTTGTCATTAACATCAACTGATTTAGAAACTTCGACATACTGGGTAGAAAGAAGTGACTAGGCTATGTTGTGTTGTCAAGCTGGCCCTAAGCGGAAAGTTTATGTCTTACAGTAAATATTTTGTCAATTGCCTCCTAATTTGTAGAATGACACTTACTGTAAATTAAAAATAGCACATTATTTCTAATTGACAATGTTTTGTGTTACAGAAAAGGGCGGAGCCAAGTGCGCCTACCCTCAATTTTTTTAATAATATTATATAAATTTAAAATATTTATTGAGTATATTAAGGTATGCCCACCCTACTATTTTTCACTACACCAGTTAAAAAAAATCATAATGAAATGATTAATAACTTTTGACCATGCTTCAAATATGTAACAAATATTTTTCAATAACTTTTGAACATATTAGAGTCATTTTGTATTTTGTTAAAAAATTATAGTGTTAGTTTATTATTGTATAAACATTATTTTAAGTACATGAAAATCAAGGTAGTAACTTATAATTTAACATTAATTAGAGATATAAAAATTCAAATATAAATATCTTTATTTGATGAGATTATTCTAATCTAATTAAAGCGGGCCACCACCTACGAGAGAGAGAGAGAGAGAAAGGAGAAGATTCAATTGAATATCCAGATCAGAGATAAAAGGGGTGAGTAGTAACATGATTGTGCAAATAGGGAAAGATATTTTTTGATGGTATTACTATGAGTTCTTATGCAATGCTTTTAAAGTACTTAAACAAATTGGGCGTATATTTCAAATGGTTGCATTAAACTTTTTTTTTATAAAAGGTTACAATTATTTTTTTTTCTTTTGTTAGTATACACAATGTATTCTAATCTTTGGTCATTTTTATCTTTATTAAATTTTTAAGTATCAAATATAATATAAATGTGCCATATAATTTTTACCATTTGATAGAAAAAATTAAAGTTAAAACTTATTAAAATGTCCACTCTAAAAAAAATTGACTCTGCCCTGTTACACAATAACTTTAAACAAGAGCCTTAGATAGTACCATAGATTACCATGCCCTCTTTTATTCTGATATAATATCTTTTACCCTTAACTTTACCAATGGTAAATATTCCATGATGTGGGTCTCGAACACTGTTGAAGGTCATTAATCTTCCACAATGATTTCTAGCATGCACCTGATCTGCTAAATGCACGTGGTGACACTAACCTCTCTAGTATGATCGACATAGTGGACAAGGTGACGTTCTCAAACTGAAACAGTTTTACGCTGCAAGTCAGCTGTATTTAAGTTACAATACTGCTACTTCCCAGCTACAGCCTAGCCAATTGTTCCTAGCAAAAAACCGTTCACTTAGGATTTCCCTTTTGGTCCAGGTCTTGGATCCCTGTGTATTCTTGTTACGCAAGGAAAAGCCAAATGCAAGAAACCTTCTAATTGTGCCATTAGACATGTGATCTTATTTATACATCCCCAGGATATAAAGAAACAAAAGGAAGCCGAAGTCCATCACACAACCGTTTGGCAGCCAAAACCATCATTTCAGAGGGATGCAAAACAGTAAATCGTCTGCCAGATTGACAGAATCCAACATTACATATCGTTCTCAAACATATATAATTTTGGTTTCAGTCATAGTAATCGAAGTTTTCTTCATCAAAACACGATAAATAGCCTATGACCGATTATGTGATGGCATCCTCTCTGATCCGTGCCTCTGGCGAAAGCTGTTGGACCTGATACCAGAGTCATACCCACCCGCAGCCTGATGAAATGGCCCCCAACCTGGATCTCTGTCAGCCTGGCTCTGTGGGAAAGAAGGCAAGTGTTCTCGTTCCCAAGCATGAAAGCGATTTGGCACAGGATTTTCTGCTGCTTGGAAGTTTCTTTCAGATGAACTCAATGGGGAGAAGACAAAGCCACTAGTCTGATCTGATGATGAGACCACTGGCCCAACTTGAGCCAAGCTTCTATGACTGCTGGATCTTCGTGTAGCATGATGATTGGCAGGTGTGCGTACAGCAACTGAATTACTGGGTTGCTGGAAATATGCCTGAAGAGCCTGAACACGGTCACGTGCCCGAGCAACGCTGCCAGGGTAAGGAGGGATCATTGATGAGGAAACTGAGCTCCCAGCTCTAGCAGTAGAACTGCCACAGTACATGTAAAGGCAACATTAGCCCACTGTTTGGAGAAGATGCCCCCCCACCCCCAAAAAAAAATCCCACCAAAAAAATAAAAAAAGACCACCAAAAGATATCATTTTGGTTCACTACTAGCAGCGTCAGTACTGGTTACGGTACCCTCTGCTTGTAAATGTATTAAGTGCACCAGTTGATAACTGATTCTCAACCTTGCATTTCAAGAAGTTGGTACATGTGCCCCAGTACTTACAAACTGTCCGAAGAACAGTTTCCTTCTTCACAAATCAAAGGATCATTTCAATCCTCCTTTCTTTTCCCCATTATGATTTATTTACTTACTCCTTTTTCCATTCTATTTTTTATTTTTTTGCGTGTTTAAAAAAAGAGGGGGGGTTTGGTTAGCAGGAGAAGAAGATGAGGAGACTTACCCGGTCAATTAATATTGGCAAAGTTATATTAGGTATATAAAAATCAATCCTAACAGTATTAGAGTATTAGTTATACTGCATATCTATAAAATATAGCACAGCTGATTTTGAATGGACAAACTGAGAAAAGCACAAGAATGGTCCTGATTCATAATTTCATACCATTTGATCCAATGGCCCAAAAAATTTCATTCCTAAAATTTTTTTGCTGCCCATACCCATCCCTCTACCACTCACGCTCTCCTAGATACGCCTCTCTATCTCCACTTTCTTCTCTCTCCAGCAACCCTCCCTATTTTCTCTAATCTGGCTCTCTCTCTCTCTCTCGTGGCTGCCTAGCCACCACCACCTCAACCCAGCCCACTCTATCTCGCCCCCCTCTCAATCTCACCTCTTTCTCTCCCTCCATATCTCTTTGTCACTGCCCAGCCACCAATGTCTCAACCAAGCCCAACACCATGTCGCTTGAAGCAAACCGCCAACGCCTTCCAGCTCCACCAATGGTCTGGTTACTCTCACTAAGAAAAGGATCCAAATCCAAATCCTAATTTAAGGTTGAGTTGATAGAGTATAAGTTTTGTGAATAGGATAATTATGAGTTTTTTCTTCTCTAATTGTCGAACTTCTGATTTGAGTTTCCAGTTATGTTTGGGTTTCCCTCTTTCTGAGATCATATTCCAATCTATGGAATTTATGAATATAAAGTCTCAGAACACACATCCACACACGCACACAAAGCGCACAACACACGCACCAACACCACATTTCCCCCAACTCAGAAACCTAGAACACAAACTTCCCTACTCACAGCCCACACACACCCTATCACGCACATCACCCAGTCACGCATGCACAATTCTCCCTCTTCCCATACGCATACAGACCACCTAGTCAATGAAATGTTCACTTAAACTCATTTTTATGCATCATAGCTTTTTTCCACTTAACTTTTTTTTTGTATTCGTGAGGTTAGCTATGAATTCGGTGCAAATTAGGAAGTAGAGAGAGCACATCAAAAGTTTTTAGCATTGGAACCAGTAATTAGAATGTGATTGTGGTAGTATAGTTGCATTACTTCCTTTTCTTTGGATGTTAGTAATTGTGATTGTGCCTTATTTTTTTCCTTGTTTTAAGTACATGAATGGTGCCTGAAGTTTTTTTTGCCAGTTAGTGCATCAATAATGTAGCTTTTAGTTCTGGTTTGGGCGAATTCAGCTAGAAGTTTTTGGATAATGAACTATTTTTATGGTGATGTATTTCTTTACTTTTTAGTATGGTATGTAGTTATTTTTTGTCTTTGGACTATAATATGAACTAGTGGTGACATTGGGGTTTTATGCACTCATAGATGGGATTTATTTCATTAGTGTTGAGTCATTGCCGTTGATTTTGACTTGTTACATTCGGCAAGATTTTCTCACAATCCACGTTTGTGTATGAATTAGGATTCACCTTTTTTCAATAGATTCCCATTTTTTCTAACTGGCAATTTTTTATATTAGATAGTGCCTTTAGGCACAGGTATTAGCTAATCTAATATAAATCAATACAAAAAGGAAAAACAAATTAAATCCAGTCTGTTGATTTACCAAGGACTTACCTGTGACCAACAAAGGATGGATGCAAAAAAGATCCTGATCTTGGAACATCAGAATTGGCCCTAGTTGCCCTCTGAATCACAGATGGAACTAAGGGCTGATCAGCACCACCAATGCGACTAGTCATTGTAGGGAAGGGAGAGGAATGGCGCTCCCAACCATGATAATGGACATCCATGGTGGGAGCTGATGGGACACTCCATTGATTATTGAAATTAGAACCATCTGAAACATTTCCACTGGAATTTGAGGACGAGGGGTGAACTGGTCCAAAGTAAGCAATATATGGGCAAGGATGATTAGCAGATGATACAGCTGTATGTTCAGCAAAGATAGCATGCTGTCCAAAAAGATCATGATCTGCACAAAACAAAATCTTAAATCATTACTGAAGCTTCAAGTAGAAATCACTAGATAAGCTAGAGAGAAGAAAATCTTACAAAATGTTGAAGAAAGTTCCCCCTCGCTGCAAAAAGGTAAAACATAACGTCATCGGAAGAGTCTACCTTAAAAAACAACAGCAAAAGGCTACTCTATACAAAGTCAGCAACAAATAACAAAAAAAAACGACAAAACGGTGTGGCCCTTTCCACATTGATACTTACTAGGCATGGTTCTGGCACATTGTCATCCCAAATACTACCCCACTTGATTCACAAATGGCTTCTGATCCAGGACATTATCCATCAATCTCCCTCTTTTCGTTTGAGGTAAACAAGCCAGAGAAAGTATTATTACCACAATATTAAACCAGTACATGATCTACCACCATATGCTAAAAAATCGATAGATCATCAACCACAATATGCTAAAGCCCATAAAAAATGATCTACCACCATGCCAAAGAATTCTATTTGGCCAATGATGAAGATCAAGTGATGCACCTAAATTTTGGCACTAGAGAACATGTTGAGTTGTCTTCTCTTTTATTGATCATTGATACAGTTGTCTTAAATCAGGTTTCTATTGATAAAAGGAGATGGAATATTTATTCTTCTTCAGGGGAAACTTTACTTGTAAATCGGTCGGAGTCTTTTATTATCAACAGATGTTCCAATTTGTGAGCCCTTCAAGATTATTTGGAAGTTCAAGGTACCATTAAGGGTTCAAGGATTTGCTTAGCTTGTTCCACGGAAGACGCTTAACACTAACAATATGTTCCAAAATAGCTGGTGTGCAACTCGGTCAGGTTGGATGATCAGCCCAGGCCCAATCCAAGTTATAAAAACTTCAACCCTATAACCCAACCGAACTCAACTTTCAACCTAAGTACTACCCAAGTTAATTTCTTAAAATTCGGGCTGAATTAGGTTTAGCTAATTTGGGCTTATAATTCGGATTGACTTCGGGTTCGGAATTCGGGTTCAATATATTTAAACAACCTAAATTCAACAAAAAAAAATGAACCTGAAATGCAACCAGATTTAACCATCATCAACACCAAAAAACAACAGATCTCATTGTTTAGCCTAACAGTACCTCTATAAAACCAACCAAAATGATAACCCAACAGTAACCACAAAAGTCCAAGAAATTCAGTAATAGAATAACTGAAAACTTTCAACACAAGCAAATTACATGAAATGAACCAAAAAATATCTAAATCCAGATCTTTCATGAGATGAAACAAACAAGATCTAAATTCCAAATCTATATGCATAACACAGAAAAAGAGCGATGGAAAGAGAATTACAACAGTATTTCAAGAAGGGCACGACCCATCCTGCTGTAATTTTTGTTTTGGAAAATTACTCTTGATTCACCATTATCAGCTTCAAAGCTAGTAACGTTGAGGGTAACTACCCTTCTTCAACTACCAGCCAATCCTACCAATGGGAACTACACACAGGCCTTGGCCTCTATGTGATGGCCGAACTGGACGATTTGTAGAAGAATGGGAGAGAGGAGAGACATGTGAGAGATGAGCGGCTCACATAGGATCATATTGAGAGGCAACATATATATAGATATGGATATATATATATATAAATTTCTGGTTGAACCTGGGTTTTAAATTCTTGTTAGGCCCGATTTTAATAATTCAGTCCGGGCTCGAGTTAAAACTGTGAACTTGACATTGCCCAAATTCAATGCGGATTGAGGTTTTTTAGCCTAACCTATATTTTAAAAACCTCAACTCAAGCCCTATTTTCTTGGATTGGGTTCGGCAGATCCGCCCAAGTTGCGCCCCAACAAAATAGGAAGCCATTTTCTTCCTTCCAAGCTCAATGGCGCATCCTTTGTAAAAGTGTTGAGACGTCTATGAATCATTTGTTCACATACTGCCCGGTTGCTTCAAAGTTACAAAATAAACTACTATTGATAAGGAGAGTCTAAGGGTGATTCCACGGTGCTGCAAATCAGTGCTTATAATTGATTAGTGGGGTTCTGGTAAAAGTAGGAGAGAGCCAAGAACCTATGAAAATGTGCAATTTTGATGATTTTGAGGGTGATTTTATCAGATAAAAATGAGAGGATCTTTGATGATAGAGAACACTCATTGGAGGGTTATGGGACAAAATAATAACTTTGGGCCCCCTTTGGGCTTCAACATTTATAGACTGTGATCGGAATTCCTTTGTTTTTTGAAAAAGGATGATTGGGCACAACTGTGCAGGAGTGACATGTAGCGCTGCAACTTTTATTTCTCCTTTCTCATTTGTTGGATGCATTGTCCTCTTCTATATATCATTTAAGTTTCTATCCACAAAAAAAACGGTGATACCCCCAAATACATTCACATGTTTGGGCAATGTTGGAACCATAGATATCGGGATCATAGATACCCTAGGCGCCCCACAAACTGAGGTCACAGTACCTGAAACAATTTGCACTTAGGATCAAGTTCACTTAAATCCCTCACCCCAAATTGCAACTCAAATCCTAAATCAATCCATAATCCATGTAATCCCAAGTTATAATTATAACCCCAAATGGCGACTCAAATAGTGATTTCTTTATTTTTGAGATCTTTAAACTTTCATTTTGATTTGTTGTGATTTAACTTTTTATTGTAATATAAATGTGAACCATTAGATTTTATTATTTACAACCATTAGCTAGTAAGTTGTCTTGTTTTATGATTTACATTGGCACTTTTATAGGATATACAAAAAAAATTAGTTAACTAAAACTATAAAATAGAAAAATGGATAGTTCTATATAATTGTACATAATAGTGAAAGTTTTGTTTTATTTTGGTAGGAGACTTTGGCCTATAATCCCCACCATTTAGATCAAAGAGAGTGTGATACAATAAAAAATATTTCTCTTTGGAGAATTTTGTATGTTTCTTGCATAATCCTTGAGAGGGTTTGACATCTCTTCTGCTTTTCTATTCTCTCCCCTCCTACATCAATTTGATATTAGAGCCACACTTTGATCAACCTCATTGTGTTTCTAGAAACCCATTGGCCATTGTCATCTTTTTTATTGTTGTTGCTACTAACATCGCTAGCCAAAAAAAAAAACCAAATTCCATCCTCAGTTAGTGTAGGTCTGTGTCGACCATCTTTCCGACGCTAACTGTTACAACAATTGTACTAGAATTTGGGGTACATAGCCACAAAGTCCTTGCATCAGTCCCACAAAGATTAGAGGTGATACCCCTTTGTGGTGTTGTTTGAGTCTAGAGATTTTACTATTATTGATCGTGATTGTTGCTAAGTTCATTTAGTGCCAATACAGATCCAATTAAGAACTTGGCATCTTTAAGAAGACTAATAGCTGCCATATTTGAAGTTTGGGTTATAATGTTTGACCCAACCCAAATCTTTTACTAGTAATAACTCGTGCCTAAAAGGCACTATGTAATACAAAAAAAAAATTCACGGTTCGATATTAGCAAAAAATTTAAATTGCGGTTCCGTATTTCTGTCACGCATTTTAGCAAATGCTTCATGTGCAGCTCAATATTAGCAACAAATCAAGACCAAATACAATATTTTTCCCAAATAAAGAGACAGAGAGGAGGTAGAGACAATGAAAGAGAGAGAGAGAGAGAGTATAAAAGGGGATGCGTTGATGTGTGCATGAATGGGAGGTTTGGTGGGATGGTCAAAGATAGCATTTGGTTCAACTTGTGGGTATAGGTTATTGTATTGGTGGTGACTACAGTGGCTGGTACTTGGATGTTAGCCTTATGTTCTTGATTCGTAGTTTGTAGATCCTTCTCACACAAAAACCTTCTTCTCTATTGTGTGTGTGCGAGTATGTTGTGTGTGTGACTGGGGGAGAGAGAGACCAGAAGAGAAAGAGTAACAAACGGGATTGCCGCGAGATAGTTTTCGTCGCCAATGAGCTGGTTGGTTGTGGGTTGCTCGTCGTCGTTGGTGGGGGACGGGGAGACTCCATGGCATGCGTGACACATAGAGTATAGGGATGTGGGGGGATAGGGGGAGAAGATGGGTGTCATTAAGAGAAGTCAAGCCTGTTTCTCAAAAAAATATGAGATAGAGAGAGATGGACGGTGGATCTGACATTGGGTTCCGTGTAAAAGGTTGGGAATTTTAAATTGGACAGCATAAAATTTGTGGGATGAATTTAAATTTGATCTGAACCGTTATTGTGCTAGGCTAACTTTGGGGATTCAAAAATAGCTCTGTCTTATTATTATCGATTTAAAAAACCCCCCCAAAACTTCAGCCCAATTCATGAAAAAAAAAAAATCAGCCCAACCCCAACCCCATATCAAAGGTAGCCCAACAAAACCCCAACCAAGAACAGTTTTAGATCCAACACCTTCAAAATTTTACCCTTAGCCCCAAAAGTTTAAGAAATTACACTTTGGCCCCAAAAGTTTAAAAAATTACACTTTAACCCCTAAAGTTTCAAATTTTAAAGCAAGTATGGCCCCAAAATTTCAAAAATTACAGTTTAACCCCAAAAATTTCTAAAAATAATAAATTGACCCCAAGATTTCAAAAAATTTCTCAAAACTTTACTCCAATAAAGATGGTGACCAATGTCGAGTTAAGTGCTAGAATTGAAGCACTTGATTCATGACTAGATTCATTCTAAGGATCAATGAATTCTCTCCAAGCATCTATCGCCTCAATGAAAAAAAATATGAAAGTTTTGATGGCCATTGTCCTAGATAAAAAGGGTAATGGAGTCGAGATGCATGCAAATCATGATTCCTTATCATTGGTTATCAATCAACAAGTAGTGCTCACACAAGTCCCTTCACAACAAGCCCCAGTTCGAGAAGACTCAAGATTGTTTGATTTTGATAAAGGGGTTAAATTAGAGGTTAGAGATTTTCATGTGGATAATAGTCCCGAGATATTTCTTGATTGATTGTATAGCCTTGAAAGCTTCTTTAGATGGCATCGTTTGACTGTGATGAATGGAAGGTATTCTTTGTAGAATCTAAGTTAAAGGGTGTAGCAAGGCTTTGGTGGGTAAAGTAACAAGGAACTCGCTTTGATAAATCATGAGATGATATGAAGACTACTATGACTCCTTACTTTGTGCCAGCTAATTATAAACAAAGAGTTCATCTATAGTTTACACAATTGAATTGTGTGGCCACCCGATCACAATTCTCATGGATTGAGGATGTGATGATTGTCATGTATAGACAAAGACTTCATTCACAAATTTCTTCGGGTTTAGCTACAAGTCGTCTTC